ACCTGCAGCTGAGCCCGACGCTGAATCGAGCCCCCGGCAGCCTTAGTGATCCACCCCGTTTTCGCCGTGACGCGGGGCTGGGCCCCCCACCAGGCCGGCGCGACCCGCAGATTCTCCACGAGTTCGAGCCGACATCCAGCAAAACGCGGGCACTCGGCCCAGAAGTGCCGAGTCGACGCCTGGGTGTGCCCCCTCCTCCTCCTCCTCCTCCTCCTCCTCCTCCTCCTCCTCCTCCTCCTCCTCCTCCTCCTCCTCCTCCTCCTCCTCCTCCTCCTCCTCCTCCTGTTCCTCCTCCTCCTCCTCCTCCGCCTCCTGTTCCTCGTGCTCGTCGTCCTTCGCCCTCCTCGTTCCTCCTCCTCCTCCTCCTCCGCCTCCTGTTCCTCGTGCTCGTCGTCCTTCGCCCTCCTCGGCCTCCCGCTCCTCCCCTGGCCTGCTCCTGGAACAGGTCGCCCACGCTCGAGCGCGCCCTCTGCACCGCCTTCTCGTGGTGCCTCTCCGCGAGCGCCAGGCTGGACTGTGCGCGGGCCATGATGGCCTGCAGCTGCGGGAGCGCGCTCTGGGCCGCCTTCTCCTTGGACGCGCTCGCGGCGGGCCTCGCGGCGGCGGCCGCCTTGGGGGCCCCACGTCTGGCCGCTCCAGCCTTGTGCCTGGCGGCGCTGCAGTGGCCAGCCACGCACAGGGCGCAGAGCACCATGCGCCCCAGCTGCATTTTTCGCGGATCCCCGCCGAGAAGACAAGGGGGAAGCGCTGACGGGACCTTCGCTGCAGGTGGGCACTGGGGCCAGACGGGCGGACGGATGATGATGATGATGATGATGCTGCTGCTGCTGATGATATTGCTGCTGATGATGATAATGCTGCTGCTGCTGATGATGATGATGCTGATGATGCTGATGACGACGATGGTGATGATGATGATGATGCTGATGACGACGATGATGATGATGCTGGTGATGATGGTGGTGATGATGATGATGATGGTGGTGATGTTGATGGTGGTGGTGATGATGGTGTTGCTGATGGTGATGATGCTGATGATTAGAACGGTGACGGTGATGATGATGACGATGGTGATGATGCTGATGATGATGCTAATGATCATGATGGTGATGAGGCTGTTGATGACGATGATGAGTGATAATGGGAATTGCGATAAATAACAACGGCTGAGTGATGAATGCCAGATGGTGAACGATGGCGATGAATGGTGATGATGATGGTGATGACGGTGATGGTGACGATCGCAATGACGACCGATGACGGCGACGACGAGGATGATGACGAGGCTTATGAAGAAAGATGATGATGACGGTGCAGGACGGACTAGGATGACGAGGAGGCGGCGGATGAGGACGAGGGACGGCTGCGACGATGCTGACGTTGATATATGATGGTGATCCTGGTGATGGCAAAACGACGGAAATTACAACGACGATGACGACGATCACGATACGGTGATGATGCTGGTGCTGATGATGAGTGGTGATGATGATGGTGATGGTGATAATGGTGATACTGATGATGATGATGCTGACGATGATGATGACGATGGTAATGGTGGTGGTGATGATGCTGCTGATGATGGTAATGGTGGTGATGATGAGGATGAGGATGGTGGCGTGTGATAGTGGCAATGAAGATGCGCCACCGATGGCGATGATTGATGATGGCGAAACGGCGAGGGCGATGATGTTTTGTGATGGATGATGGTGATGACGATGACGACGATGGCAATGCTGCTTCTGAAAGCGGAATCCGCCGACTACCCCTTGGGGTTCATCGGCGTGTGATATGCTTCCCCCTCCCCAAACCCCTGCCCCAGGAGCCCGGTCCAGTCGAATTGGAGGGGGGGTTCCCCCAGGGGACCACCTGAACGCGTCTTCGGGGGCAGAGGGCCCCAAACTGGGCCACGAGGGCCCGAAGAGGCCCTTGGGGCGGTCCACGAGGGCCACGAGTTGCTGACACATTGATCCAAAGCGCCCACGCTAGCCTCCAGACGGCCCAAGAGGCCCCCAAGACGCCCCAAGAAGCTCCCAAGAGGCGTCCCAAGAGGGCCTCCAGAAGCAAACGTGGAACACGTGCATTTGAAGCACATTCGCCTCTTGGGCGTTCACAACGTCCCAGAAGGCCGAAGAGGCCTTCAAGATCGCCCCAAGACGGGCCAAGAGTCCCCCAAGAGGGCTCCAAGACTACCCAAGAAGGCCCCAAGACGGCCCAAGAAGCCACCAAGACGGCCCAGAGGGGCCCCAGGACAGCGCCAAGACGGGACCCAGAGGGGGAACCCGAACGGACATTTCGAGTCTTCCACCCCAAGACGCCTCCGGGCTACCCCAAGAAGCCCCCAACAGACGCCCAGGGAACCCCAAGATGGCAGCAGAAAGGTCCCAAGAGGCCCCCAGGAGGCCCCCAAGAGGTCCAAAAAATGTCTCCAAGACGCCCCCGGGACGCCTCCCACGAGACCCCATTAGCCATCCGAGTGGCCTCAGACCTGCGGCCCAGGCACGGTCGCGGGATGTACCGACAGCCATTCGATAATCGTTCTTCGGGTGTGTTGACAGATGCCCGCCGTCTGTATACGGGGGTTCTCGCTCGTTTCCCCATGCGTACACGGCGAATACTGAAAATGTCAGCCCAAGAGGCACCGAAAAGGACCTCAAGAGGCCCTCATGAAACCCCCAGAGAACACCAAGAAACCCCCAAACGGCGCACAAGAGGCCCTCAGGAGCAACACGCATCAACCGCAAGTTCCCCAAGGGGTCGGCGGTGTGGCGTAAGCCCAAGAATCCACGTCCAGAATTGACGTGCTGAGCGGCAGCGTTTTCCGCGGATGCTGTAACGCAGAGGATCCAATGTGTCCGATGTTTGCATAATTCCCACATGCTGTATTGTGTTACATTATTATGTCTCCCCCCTACCCCCCCTGGGAGCTGCGCCACAGGAACGGACCAAAGTGCCCCCCCCCTCCTGGGGCTCGAAAACCTACCAAAACCTATAGAGAATCTGTGATTTGGACCTCGTCGGCTTTTTGGAGGGCCAAGAGGGCGCCAAGACGGCTCAAGACGGCCCCGAAACGGTCCAAGACGGCCCCAAGAGGGCCCCCAAAAAACCCAATGACAGCCCAAGAGGGCCCCAAGAGCGCCCACAATTGCGCCTCCAGAAGCCAAAATCATTGATTTCCAAATGGTTTGGTAATCTTTTAGCGTTCTCGCCTTGGCGGCCCAAGCAACTTCCCGAATCGCTCCAGAACAACCCAAGAAGCCCCCAACAGGGCCCCAGTACGGCCCAACAGAACCCCAAAACGGCCCAATAAAGGCCCCCAAGACGGTCCAAGAGGCCCCTTTGACGGCCCACGAGGACCCCAAAACGGCCCCAAGGCGGCCGCGAGAGGCCCCCAAGACGGCCTCCGAAGGGGCGAAACGGCGCAAAAGCGCCCCAATGCGGCCAATGACGCCCCCAAGAGTCCCCAAGAGGCCCCCAAGCGGCCTCCAAGGGGCCCCGAAAAGCTCCCAAGAGGCCTCCAAGAGGTCTTCAAGAAACCTCCCAAAGGCTCCAAAGAAGCCCCCCAAAGGCCACACAGCGACTGGAGTGCAATGCCATTTTTCCAACCTGGGCGAACTGCGGCGCAGCGCCAGCCAGGTGGACGTTGGTCGCAGCGGCGCCCATGATTAGAGCCGGCGCTGGAAGGAAATATGGGGAGGGAGTATGAAAAGGAGGGAGGGGAGACGCCCCAAAGAAGCCCCCAAGAGGCCCAAGGAAGCTCCCAGGAGGCCTCCAGGAGGCCCCCAAGAGGCTCCCAAGAGGCTCCGCGACGACGTGACTGTACGCGCTCCGGACGTGCACCCCGCGAAGCGAGAGGAATCCACGTCCGGAGGTGACGTGCTGAGCGGCAGCGTTTTCTGCGGAGGCCATAATGCAACGTACCCAATGTATCCAATGATTGCAGAATTGCCACATATTGCATTGTGTTACATCATTATGTTTCCCCCCTAACCCCCCCTGGGGGCTGCGCCACAGGAACGGACCAAAGTGGCCCCCCCCCCTCCCGGGGCTCAAAAACCTCCAGAAACCAATGGAAAATCAACGATGTCGACGACTCCTTGGGCCTCTTGGGGGGCCAAGTGGGCGCCAAGACGGCTCAAGATGGGCTCTGTGCGGGCCAAGACGGCCCCGAAACGGTCCAAGACGGCCCCAAGAGGGCCCCCAAAAAACCCAATGACAGCCCAAGAGGGCCCCAAGAGCGCCCACAACTGCGCCTCCAGAAGCCAAAATCATTGATTTCTCTTTGGTTTGATAATACTTTAGCGTTCTCGTCTTCGCGGCCCAAGCGGTTCCCCAAATCGTTCCAAAACAACACAAGAAGCTCCCAAGAGGGCCCCAATACGGCCCAACAGAACCCCAAGACGGCCCAATAAAGGCCCCCAAGACGGTCCAAGAGGCCCCTTTGACGGCCCACGAGGACCCCAAGACGGCCCCAAGGCGGCCGCGAGAGGCCCCAAGACTGCCTCCGAAGGGGCGAAACGGCGCAAAAGCGCTCCAATACGGCCAAAGACGCCCCCAAGAGGCCCCAAGAGGCCCCCAAGAGGCCCCCAAGGGGCCAAGAAAAAAACCCAAGAGGCCTCCAAGAGGTCTTCAAGAAGCCCCCCAAAGGCTCCAAAGAAGCCCCCCAAAGGCCACACAGCGACTGGAGTGCAATGCCATTTTTCCAACCTGGGCGAACTGCGGCGCAAAGCCAGCCAGGTGGAAGTTGGTCACAGCGGCGCCCATGATTAGAGCTGGCGCTGGAAGGAAATATGGGGAGGGAGTATGAAAAGGAGGGAGGGGGGAGAGGCCCCAAAAAAGTCCCCAAGAGGCCCAAGGAAGCCCCCAGGAGGCCTCCAGGAGGCCCCCAAGAGGCTCCCAAGAGGCTCCGCGACGACGTGACTGTACGTGCTCCGGACGCGCACCCCGCGAAGCGAGAGGAATCCACTTCCGGAGGCGACGTGCTGAGCGGCAGCGTTTTCTGCGGAGGCCATAATGCAACGTACCCAATGTATCCAATGATTGCAGAATTGCCACATATTGCATTGTGTTACATTATTATGTCTCCCCCCTAACCCCCCCTGGGGGCTGCGCCACAGGAACGGACCAAAGTGCCCCCCCCCCCTCCCGGGGCGCAAAAAACTCACCAAAACCTATAGAAAATCAGCGATGTCGACTTCTTGGCCTCTTGGGGGGCCAAGTGCGCGCCAAGACGGCTCAAGATGGGCTCTGTGCGGGCCAAGACGGCCCCAGACGGTCCAAGACGGCCCCAAGAGGGCCCAAAAAGCCCCAATGACGGCACAAGAGGGCCCCAAGAGCGCCCACAACTGCGCCTCCAGAAGCCAAAATCATTGATTTTCCTTTGGTTTGGTAATATTTTAGCGTTCTCGCATTTGCGGCCCAAGCAGCTTCCCAAATCGCTCCAGAACAACCCAAGAAGCCCCAAGAGGGCCCCAATACGGCCCAACAGAACCCCAAGACGGCCCAAAGAGGCCCCCAAGACGGTCCAAAAAAGGCCCCTTTGACGGCCCAAGAAAACCCCAAGACGGCCCCAAGGCGGCCGCAAGAGGCCCCAAGACTGCCCCCGAAGGGGCGAAACGGCGCAAAAGCGCCCCAATGCGGCCAATGACGCCCCCAAGAGGCCCCCAAGGGGCCCCAAAAAGCTCCCAAGAGGCCTCCAAAATGTCCTCAAAAAGCCTCTCAAAGGCTCCAAAGAAGCCCCCCGAAGGCCACACAGCGACTGGAGTGCAATGCCAT